CCGAACCGGACCACCGTAGATTCGAAATTGAAAAACAATTTTTGAAATTCAAGAATTTTTGGACTATGTGAAGAGGTTAAAATTAAGGAAGAAGAATTGGGGAGAAAGGTGGGTATGCGATAGAGGAGAAGAGAAAAAGAAGAGAAGGGGAAAATAAATGACGGGAAAAAGAAAAGAAATGGGGAAAAAGAGAGGAGGAAAAAGAAAAAAAAAAAGAGAAAAAAATGGGTATATGTATAGTATACGTAAATCTTAGTTATTGTCTTAGTTATGTACGATTAGTTTGTGAATGGAAGTTTTTTTTTTCTGTGTTCAATGTTTTATTCATAATTTATGTTGGGTATATTAGAAGATTTTTTTGTTAGAAAACGAATTTGACAAAACATAAATTGATTTTTTTTTTTTTTTTTTTTTTTTTTGTGGGGTTCTGTTATTTGTTAATGAAAGTATCTATTGTCATATCTTGTGGATATTCATTACTTTTATGTTTAGTGAACTTGGTCTGCATGCATACCATATTACAGGTCACATAAACAAAATTTATTTTACTTTACTGGTCACGTAATTTAATATATTTGTTCTTAACCACAGATTTTGTGGTATATATATGGTAATTTTGCACAGGGATACATATTTGTTTCTGTGGTATATATATGGTATATATGCAGTATAACATGTTGTAATTATTTTTACCGGAGTAGAATCGAAAGATTCGAACACCGGGTTGTATCTCAAGGAAGGTCAGTCGGATTATTTGTACGGATATTCAATCACACGAAAAAGAAAATAAATTTCTAAACACTCTAATTCAATGATTTGGGTTTTCAATTATCATCTAATAATTCTCAAACAATGCAAATAAATAATTAACAAAACTTAAAACGAGTTTCTTCTACGTACGAAGGCTAGGGAATCGGGGATGATTATACTCTAATCAAATTCGAACACCAAGCGAAAATCGTTCGGCTAAATGATTCAATCAACCTACACATCTAGAGATTATTCCTCAATAACTTCTCGTAACAAGAGGAAAAATATAGACGGCAAATTAAACCAATCAATTAACACGTAGGCAATACAATTACGAACAAGCCCACTCTAGTCGAGCCTAGATCGACCGACTTCTTCCCTCTCGGTTCAACAAGTCGATTAATTAGATCAGAATGGTGATCAAGCATCTAACCCTAGGTTTAAATCAACTCGAAAAGATTGAACGAAATTCACAGGCAAGATAAGCACACGAGTACGAGTAATCACCCCTATCCCTAGCTTAAGAATTTAGCCACTCATGCCAAGATGAACACAAGACATAGTAAAAAGTAAATACTCCAAACTCATAATCAAAGTGAGAAGAAAACTTACGATAAATAAAAGTCAAGTGTTGAATCTCAAGCACAATCTAAATTCACGATCAAAATCCTTGGGTGTCACTCCCAAAAATCTCAAAATAAGCAAAGATAAAAGGAACAAGTTTTTCGTCTGATAAAACGAGAGAAAAATGAAAAGTGCAGAATGAATCGAAAACCCTTGCTCGATCCTACTTAAACGCAAAACATTAATCTAATTTTTAAAAGGTTTAGCGCCGCGGCGCGTAGTGCTGATGTGGCGGCGTGAAGGATCTCGCGGCATGTGGTCACGGCGTGAAGGGGTTGAATCGCCGCGACGCTAGGCTTGTCGCGGCGTGGCATATGAAGAAGCTCGACTTCTCTGTACACCTGTTAAGGGTCTCACGGCGTGGAAGGTGGACGTGGCGCGGCGCTGGAGGTCGTAGCGGCGTGGAGAGAAAAAGAAGGCACGGCGCTGGCATCGTCGCGGCGTGGAGAATGAAAAGAACTATCTGAAGGCCCGTTAAGGGCTCCGCGTGTGTGGTCGCGCCGTGAAAGGAGTGAAGTGCCGCGGCGTGGCAACTGGGAAGGCTTGATAGTGCATGTGCTTTGTAAAACCGAGACAGCTCGTCTTGGTAAACTTCGAGCACTTAGTCAAAAATCCGAACCTGCACACCTCCAAAAACAAGAATAACATCACTTACATGTAATAATATTTTATATATTATTCTATTATTGTGGACCATATAAATTAATTGGATCTAATTGAATTAATAGTCAAACTTAATTAAGATGAATATGTATTTAATGGATTATTAATGTTCTAATATAAAAGAGTCCAATTTGTGATGTTTGACTTGGACAGTAAGTTAAGTTAGAACATGGGGAATGTTAGTAGGAATAGGTTTGTAGGATTCCTCCTATATATACTACATCCCCTCTCTCCCATCTCATACGAAAATAAAGTTCTCAACATCAAGGGCTTTATGAAAAGACGAGAGACGCGGGAGAGAGAAACAATTCATAGGCAAAGGCGAATCCATCATTGGAGATTATGAGAAAGATAGATCCATGAGACTACGAGATGGAGATTATGAGAAAGATAGATCCATGAGACTACGAGGATGAAGAGATCGCAGATCAACATCATAGATCAAGAAAACAGGGAAAGACTATAAGCTGGATTCTTGTAAGTTTTTATGTGCAATTTAATTTATGCAAAAGATCCATGTTCTATGAATTGATAGAATTACATGCTTAGGGTTTATTTAATTCCGCCTAATTGTTATGAATATAACCGTTAAATTTCTTACATTACAAGCTAATGAGAAACTCTAAGTTAGCAATCGATGGAGGAATACGGCCGGTAAATCCTATAGAAGCCAAGCTCCTGCAATACAAGTTCAGCGAGGATATCATGGTCTGTTTGGTACAAAAACAATAATAAGAGTTCTCTCATATATATATAAACTAGTCCTGGTTTGAAAACTGTGAGAACCTATTTAATACTATTTTTAATTGCGTGTGATGATATTTTTATTATTACACGGTGCTATCATTTTCACAAATGTTAATATAAATTGTGTTGCTATTTTTAATAAAATACATCATGGTTAAAATAGCACCAAACACAATCAATCGTAGCACTATGCATAATTAAAATAGTGGTTCTTACATTAAAACTTGGTTTTCATTTGAGTCATATTATATATATATATATATATATATATATATATATAGGCTGGTTCAAATAAAAACTAGTCCTGGTGTAAGAACCATGAGAAACGTATGTGATGCTATTTAATTTTAATTGTGTATGATGTTATTTTTTAATATTACGTGGTGCAATCATTTTCACAAATGCTAATATGAATTGTATTGCAATTTTTAATAAAATACTTCATGGTTAAAAATAGCATCAAAACACAATAAATCATAGCACTACGTACAATTAAAAATGTAGGTTCTCACATTAAGACTCGGTTCTCATTCGAACCACATCATATATATATATATGTTATATAAATGTATGTATATTATGCATGATGTACTCACAATGATATAACACTTTCATTTCTACATGAAACATGGGACCAAGTGAAACAAGGGCTGACGAGACTTTTATCCCAATCTTTGATACCGTGGCTGGAGTCGTTCAAAGCTTGCAGAATCTCGACTAAGATCTCACCTGAAAAAAATAACAGATTTGCAACTTTTACGAGTAGAAAGCATATTTTTCAAGTCATATAACTAACTGCTTCTCTAAGATGGGATCATTATAATAATGTGTATTGAACTTGTTATATTTCTTGCCAAATATAAATATGTTTTTGTTTTGAATATTCCTTAGATAAAGACTGCATGTTGCCGTGAAGAAAGTTCCTTCGATATTTAAATCAGATTTACAAAACATAATGCTCATGCACATGCACACACACTCATATACATTTAAAAGAACATAACAATGACATATTTCGTTTAATATATCTTGGTATAGTGGTCTCTTAGATCCAATAACACTTACAAGGATTGAAATTTCATTAAAGCATGTAACGACTATACCTTCAATATTTGAAGCCCAACAACAGAGTGGTAACAACAAGAGAAGAACAAATTTAATGGATGACTTGGTAGAGATATGCTTTATACAATAAGTTCCTGCCATGAGTTCCTGAGCAATAACTTCCGATTCAATCCTTCAACTCTTATGTGACNAAAAAAAAAAAAAAAAACAAACAAACAAACAAAAAAGATTTTTTTTATAGCACAAATAGCATGGAAATGGAAAAGCATATATACATGCTGCAATGTGTCATTCATCGTAATTGAATGCTCGTAAACTTTGCCTTATCAGCTTTTAGCCAGAAAAAATACCGATAATATTTTTTGCACATGGCCAGCTTATTCAAATTTGTGTCTTGATATGTTTTGATATAAAACTGTTGTTGTGATGAATATGAATCCCACCACTAATACACAAAGTAAATGCTCTTTTATTCATTCTGAATGGGCTTCTATTTGCAAAGATAAGATGCTTAGCAACAATCAATGAGCACCTAAAAAAGGTTCTTTTCCCAGCAGTGTTATATTCGGCCGGCCTACAGCACATTAATTTTTTTTCCCAATTTGTTTAAAATAAATTAGTAAAGTGCACGTGCGATGCACTTGATACACAATTCATATTTCTTTTTGTGGTTTTAAATTATATTTTATTTGTATTATTATATGGATTATTATTTTTAAATAATCAAACAAAAAAAGTACATAGCATAATGAATTATGTCAAATGTATCACATTATACATAATTTTTAAGTAATGATAATATTTGAAAGTCGTGATAAAAAAGAGCACATAAAAAAAAAGAAATTTTTCATCTATTCTACAAGATTCTGAAAATATTACAAAATACAATTTATTAATAAATAATTACATCTCTACCTAAACCTAAAGTCAGTTTCATATTTATTCAACCTCCATCTCCCCTTTTTATGGGCTTTATTAAGAGAGAGAAACGACAAACATGCATATAATAAATAATTAACTCTTTTAATTCCTTAATTCGCGCAGCTTGTACGTTTTTAATACAGAGATAAAAACATGTATTGTAATTCACACAGCTGTCCAGGTGGGTGTATGTTGATGTTAGTATATATTCAGTATATGTTGCAATGAGAAACATGTCTTCCATCAACAATTATGTCTTCTTGTTTTTATTTTTAAGTTTAACATTCATTGAAACGTATGTGAATTGATAGTTTTTTATTAAAGATATATGTGTCATTTTTTTATTAATGGTAAATGTATNTCGTTTTTTTTTTAAATAGAAAAAACAAACATCCATTCACAAACTAATTTATACATAAACTAAGATGCACAATAACTGTACCTATCGTATACATATCATAAACTGATCATAATCATTATTTTAATAAATTATTTTAGTATATATAGAGGTTGTTTACTTTCATGGATATGATTGGATAACTAAATCTGTCAGCAAATGTCACATGTTTACTTTATATGTTAGGGATAGGACTCATCCTATTTGCCACTCATGTGGCATGCGGGTCCCACCATTTATCTTCCACTAGTGTATACCCCGTGCGATGCACGGAAACAATATTAAATTAATAATATTATAAATAGACCTCGAGTTTGAGTCACTCAATGACGGAAGTGGAAACTACTATTGTTCCTATTTAAAAAGAGGAAGCAAAAAAAATAATTATAAATTATAGAGGAGGATAAACAATACTTAATAATTATAAATTAAAGATTCGGGGTCAAACAATGTAAAATTATTTTGTATAAGAGAATATAAAAAAAAATGATTACACACCATTTCAAAATTATTATTAATACTTTTTTGTATGGTTAGCTTATAATATTTGTAAGAATATTAGTAACTAGACCGATTAGCTTATAATATTTATAAAAATATTAGTAATTAGACCGATGAAAATTAGCTTCTTAAAGTAGATAATGGATTTCCAGTAGTAATTATGAATTACTTTCTATTTTATTTTATTTTTTCTTTTTAAAAATAATGGATTTCTAGTAATAATTATAAATTGGTTTCTATTTTATTTTATTTTTTTAAATCTGTATAGATAAGGAATGAGATTTTTTAAACACGTGAGTTCGTATGTAATGGGATTTTGTAACAGAAGAGATAAGCTTGTAAATTTATACTAAAAATAGGAAAAAGAAAAACAAATATTTATTGTCAAACAATTTGATAAACTAAAAAAAATGAGCCGATTTTTTTGCCTATTCAGATTTGTCCAACAATTACTATATTAGGATATATTTAATGATTTTGGCGGAAAAAAGTTTCTAAATTTATAAAAGGGTTATTCTTTTTATATAATGATAGATTCGCCGATAAAAAGAATACCGTGGGGGAGGCTGAATTTTTTTATCCCGTTTGTACAATGCCCATTTTTCCCTCAGAATTGCATTTAAAAAGACCTAATAACCTCTCATGTTCCATTTAATTACGATCCAGTACCATATAAAAATTGAAAATCCCTCATCCCTCATCCCTCAAACGGGAATTGCACACAGAGAAGAAGGAAGCCTCAAACAGGAATTGCACACAGAGAAGAAGGAAGCCTCAAACAGGAATTGCACACAGAGAAGAATGAAGCCCACAACTTTGATTTGCAGTAGTCCTCGTCAGATTATCGTTCGAACACCGGCGGTAACCCTCAACACACAGCCGTGTCGTAACTGGTGATAGCCCTAAGGTCGTCGTCCTCTGAATGACGTCGTCGACGTCCCAAAGCCGGTCAAGGAATGTCGCCTTGGCCCACGTTGTCCCAGTCTGGTGCCTGAATTCCTTGCCTTCTGTAATTCTGTTGGTTCAAATTAGGGCTCGACAAAAACTGTCGAAAGAGGGCCAAATGAACAAACTGAGCTTTGTGTCGCATTTTATGATGAAAGGGTCAATTTGGACATTTCAAGTATTATCTTATAATTTAGTCCATCAAAGTAAATGATTGACAAGTTATACAATTTCTTATCTAATAATAATGTAAACATAGGACAACATGCTGACGTGTAAAGTTAGTTGGATTATTTTGCCTAATCCTGTCCATGAAAGTAAATGAGGCCGTAGAGTATAATATAAACAAATGAAGCATAGGCCAGATGATAAACACACAAAGCACGGGCAACAAAACACATATATTGAACATATACCGCCTATACACGCAACATATACCGTCGATTATGCTTACGGGAACATATACTGAAAGATATACTGTATATAAACGCAACATATCCCACAACATAATAAATCAAACGAAAAATATTCTCAAACAAGCTTAAACATCATCAATCATTAATCATACATATATTGAATATAAACTCAACATATAGAGTCGGGTTGTAGCGTCTCTACCGTCTTTGGACGTGGGCGAGGGGATGTGAGAGAAAGGAGCTGGTGCAGCGGCGCAAACTCTGGAAGAAACACAAATCTGAGGTTGTACTCGAATGTCTTCTTCGACACCCGGAAGAAGTGCTTGAATGCCTGTTCTTCATCGAGCGGGGGATATGAGGCTATGGATTTGTGGGGGTTTTTTTATGCGAGTTAGTTGAATTTGACAACTTTAGTAAAGGGGGTTTGTAATATCCCATTCAGTAATTAATAAAAGTAATTATTTTAGTTCTAAGTTTGAACTAATTACTTTTATTAATAATGCCCGTTCCTAGTTTTGAGCCCAGTTATTAAGTTATTCTGTTAAAAGTTCGACTTTAAGTTGAAAGTATATCGAGCCAGTTCAGTAATTAATTAATTTCGGTCTGTTTATTTTTATAAATGGATTTATAAGATGGGATTAATTATTTTCTTTATAAGTCGGAATTAATTATTTTAAGCTAACGAGATAAGAGAAATCAAGAATATTTCGAGAAATTGTCAAAGTCGAGTTTCGATCGAAATCAAACAAGTTCGACTTAAGTCAAACCGAACCTAACCGAACTTATGTAGTATTTTCTTTAGAATATTTATAAGTATTTAGTTATTAAATTAAATCATATTAGTCCATATTAGTATCAATTTAAGTAAATTATGGTTTAAAATTTTTTATATTATAAATGAAATCAAGATGTCATTTTCTTCCATATTTTTATTTCAAGTGTTGTCCTCTCTTTTGTTTTATTTGATGATGACCTAATGGTAGAATAGTTAGTACATTAATGGAGAGGAAATTTTTAAGTTTAAATGAGCAATCATGCGGGTCATACAGTTATTAGTTATGTTGAGTGAGTGGGGATCAATTATACACCATAGGGTGCTATATATAAAGAAAATGACTCGTAAGTTTTTTTAGTGGAGTTGTTAATACATCATTGGAAATGAAAGTTTTTTTTAAAAGGGAAAAATCGCGGCCATATAGTGTAAATGCCTAAAAATCTTAGCATTTTAAATAAATTACTATTTTTATATAAAATTTTATAAATCAAGTTCAATTGATTATGACCTGATATCAATTATTTGCATATATGTAAACTTTTTGAATGGTTAATGAGATGCAAGACGTAAGTGCATGCGAAATCATTTATGTGACACTAATGTTTATTCTAATGACATGTGTCATTAAATAAAGAGTTAAGTGTCCATTCTTCTATCTCTATTAGCTTTACTCGGTTTATAAGAGATGGTTTTAAATTCATTTCTTTACCTTTAAATTGTTTCATCCTTAGAGAGAAATAAGAGATAGTACAGAAAATTAGTAGTCATATCTTGCGCTCGTTAGAAAGTTACCGACGTACATCTTGTTCTATTCAAAATACACCTGCATCAACTTATTATTAAGAAGTTATACAATCAAGGAATTTTCTCCATTTTTTCACTATACATGAGCAAATTTGTCAAGGACAAGTTCGAGCGTCCGAGGCTTCGTTTTTCTCGATTCTTTTAGTTTCTCGTCTAATCGAGATGAGGTATAAAGCTTAGTTAATTTTTTTATTAATTTCGAGTTTAGTTTGAAGGATTAATTAAGTTATTATAATTATGATATAAATATATGATATTTTAATGATAAGAAATTCAACTATGCATATGTTTAAAGGATTATTTTCGAAATTTAATATTTAGACGATAAATTCGGATTTAAGATATATGCATGTGAAAGTCGAGTTTAGTTCATTATAAATCTTTATTAATCATGAATATGATTTTATGAAGATTTAGCATATTTTGAGTTATAATGATGGATCTAGTAGAATATAATTTTTTTTACATATTAATTATTTGAATGAGATTTTGATAAAGAAAAGAATAAGCTGGAAAAATATGATGTATGATGAATTAAGTACTTGATTGAGTGAAAGATCAAGTTAAGATGAGTTTATAAATCATGATGATGATGATGATGGTAAAAAGTAAGTACTCAATCAAGTATAATGTCAAAGATAGTTATTTGAGTTATAGCATGTTATGAAACATATTGATGTGTAAGAAGATATGTTTTATAAGGTTAAGTAATTAACCTTGAGTAAAAGTAAAAAGTGAAGTTAAATATAAACTTGAGAATAAGCAAGTTTAAGAATGGGATAAGTTAATAATCCTAAGAACGTATTGAGTATACGAGCATAGTACTTAGTATATTTGTCTATATTTGATTTAACTTGCAGATACAGTACCAGTACAACACTTATCGAGTTACAAACGATTTCAAAGATGAAAAGGTGGGGACCCTAAATGGGTAGCACATTGAGTACGATATGTGATAGGGGATGAGGAGACCATCAGTTGTCTCAAAAGTATATCCCGAAGTTTAAGGTTTATTACGCTTGGGATGAGGAGGCATTAATTTGTCTCAAAGGTTATATCCTAAGTTCTGATGGAGGCGAGACGGGCCTGAGAAATATCCATCAGAGTGTGCACATGTATTCGATTAACCATCGGCCAGAGAAATGAAAAGTTGAAGTTTAATTTTAAGTTACTGATCAGATATCGGTTTATGATTATCCATATTCGTTACTCACCCCCATGAGTTTTAGTTTCAGGTAACAGGTTAATGAGGAGGTGTGAGTGGAGCTGTGTTGGTGTGGATCGTGACCGAAGATGAAGACAAGCTTTAATATGGACATTTATAAAAGTTTGTATATTTAACCACGTTTCAAGTATTTCCGCTACGCACATTAATTATTGAACTTGCATTTTAATGAATTTTAGATTTAAAGTTTTTATAATTATGATAATTGTGATTATGTATTTTAAATGCAAGTTTAAATGAAATCTGTTTTTATGTTTCAAAGAAGTATTAAATGATAGTTTAAAGAGAAACAGATTTTCAAGAAGATAAGTCGAGTAGCATCCCGAGTAGTCGCAAAAGATTCAAAAGAGTTATAAGTAATTTCGAAGTAAAAGTTGCGAAAAATTTACTCTGATAAGCGGGTTGTTACAGGTGGTATCAGAGCTAAAAGTTTAAATGCTCTGCATACTAAAAAGTTTAAAGTTTCTGAAAGAGAAGTTCAAGTTTTACAGGAAGTTTCAAGAAAACCCGACCACACCACGCTCACACCTCGTCAACTACCAGGTAAGTGTTGTTCAAAGTTTTATACAAGTTTTTCAATATATTCAAATTTACTAAGTCTATGCTCGATAAGAAATCAGATGTACCAACTCTAGTAATTGGTATATATGTTCAAGTATTAAAGTGAAATCTATTTTATCAAGTTAACTAGATCAAGAATATAAACTTGAACATTCCAAGTTAAGCCATAAGAATAAGATTCAAGTAATGATTATAAAGATGAAGATGCAAAGATGAGATTAAGTTATGATATGATCATAAAGATTTAAGAATGAGAATCAAGTTACGATATGATCATAAAGACTGAAGATGTAAGAATGAGATTCAAGTTAAGAAATGACTATAAAGATTGATAATGAATAAGAAGTGACGGTATTTCAGGATATAATAGCCAACAAGTACGGGAAAAGATCATGGAGGTTTGAAATAAGAACCAAAAAGCCGGATCAGATCCTGTAGGCTTGAAAACTGAAACGAAAGAAATAAAGTTTCAAGAAAATGTTCAATCTTTATAAAACAGAAATTTTGATATCCTATCAGCTGGATATCATGAGATTATTAGAAAGTAAAGTTCAAGATAAAGTTATAAGTTATTAGTACTTGTAGAATAAGAATAAGTCTACAAAGTACTTTTCAGAAATGAATGAGAATAAAGATTAAGGTATCGACATATAATAGTCATAAAGTCGGTGAAATTATGGAAACCTGAAATAAGGTTTATTAAGTCCGAATTACCTGTAGACTTGAAATCGAACCTTAAAAGATATCAGAAATACAGTCCAGATACCGAGATAAGTATTTAAGTTCTCGGAAGAATTTTAAAGTTAAGCAAGAGTAATCTGGAAATGTAAAAGTTAAAGATATACATGTAAAAGTTAAAGTTATACATGTAAAAGTTAAAGATGGACAAGTGAAAGTTAAAGATAGTTTTTTTTAATAAAAGACTAATATGTTTCTTTGGAGGAAATATTAGTCCCCAAAGAGAGATGAGTTTAAGGCCATAAATAAGAAATGGCGAGAAGAAGTAAGAAAAGAAAAAGATTAACCAGAACTCTAGCACAAGCTAGGTGTTTTCGGAAAATTTACAAATTTCTTAAAGTTTGGTATAGCTATTTATTAATGGTTATACTGTTCAAAGTTATAAAGTTAGTGGTTTTAGAATGCCGCGAGGCAAAGTTTCAAGACCACAACTGAGTAAAGTTTAAGATCTTGATTAATCAAGAAGTTAATTCAGTCCAGAAGCAAGTAGTATTGATGTGTGAACCAAGTTTATTCGAGAAGAGAATATTTTACACAATCAATCTACTTGATAGAAATTTCAATATTCTGTAAAGCCAAAAGCAAGACAAAGATACAAGCATACTGTTGAGAAATTCCTAAGAAGCTATTACAGAAATCTCGAGAAAAGAGATACAGATAAGTATAAAGGAATTCTCAACTAAGTACAAAGTAAAGTACAAAGTTAAAGTACATAAAGGGAGGGTGCGTCTCAAGAGCACAAGACTCCATAACTCTGCCACCCAGCATGGCTGTAGTTTATAATGATAGATCTAAAGGATCAAATGCTCGCTTGCGTTTGAATCCTGGAGTTTCCACATGATCTTGAACAGTTGAGATGCTGTCTTGAAGCTTCTGGATAAGTTCAGATGATGTGTTTGCAGACTTGAATATTTCTCTTTGAAAGTGAGATATGAACGTTTGATACACTGCTTCATCTAGAAATCCAAGCAAGTGGTGGAAATAGTTATTGAAATTTAACAAACCAATTGGTTTGGTATGAAATTTCATTTCTGCCCAAGTAGCAAGGGTAAATGCAGTCATTAAAGTTCCATATCCAACAGGAAGAATGATGAAAGCATCACAACTAGATATCATGGACATTAAACTGTCATAAATGGAAAGAGTTATCATCAAAGTAGCAGAATCTTTAACGATCTTTGATGAAGTGAGATAAAACGGAAGGATACTTCTCACCTGGATGTCAAAGCATTTAACAGCCATTAAGAGGTTGTTAAATAAGTAAATACTAGTTACTCCATAAAATATGTTGATGTTATGTTTGCCTAACTCTTTTACGAGTTGGCTTACAACATATATGTTGTGAGGAACATTTACAAATTTGGAACCACCAAGGATGCATACAGTTCTAAGAGGTTGAAAAAGTTTAGATCCTGGAGAAGATTGGGCAGTAGCCATTTTTTATGAAGAGATATTTGGCTAAAAGATAGATTTGCCTTTTAAAGAAGAAAGAGAGTTGTTTTTAAAGAAGAAAAGTTCCGACAAGAAAGCAGTTGAGTCTTAAATGACTCTTATCTGTTGAAAAAGATAAGAAGTATGTACAGTACAACAGTGACATCAAGAACAGTGTTGACAAACATGATCAGTGGAAATGATATTTTCCAGACTATAAAGTTTTTCTTCATGTTTGAATAGAAGCCATAAAGACATCAGTTCTCAATGCACATATCCACTAGAATGTGTATCAAGAATCTGCTGAATGGTTTGATTCAGAGATTCCTTACTCAAGCCATTCTTGAAGAAAGTAATTTTATCTTCTCGATTATTTGACAGGAAGCCTAAAGAAGTACAACGAGTGTCGCAGTTCCAGCGGGCACATGTATGGCAGCCGCCTAGTCGTTTTGCTCTACGTTTCTTGGCAAAAGTGCTTTTACCCATACCTGACAGATACTTGTATGCATTGGGATATTCGCCAGAGACACGGACCTTTGCTTCGATCAACCATCTTATATCATTTGGGATATTATTGAGCATGAGTATTCTTAATCTTTCTACTCGAGCTCGATGAATTCTCTTTATGATATTAAGAGGAAGAAAAGAATAGATTTTTCGGATTTTTAGCAGTGCTAAATCCATTGGTGAATCGGACCATCGTTGAGGAATGTAGAGGGATTACCGAAGGGGTTATAAATAAGAGATGAGTATGAGATAAGTTGCGAGGTATGATTAAATTATACCGAATGATAGAATATGCAACCAGAAGGAAATTAATGCAGCAAAAAGAAGATGTGATATGTCAACAATAATGCAAATTGTTGTGATAAGCTGAAGATAGTATTGCAGTCAGTATGCATTTAATGCCGTTGCAATCAGATGTGGGATGTCGGCAATCAGATGATAGTTGTCGGCAATAAGTGAGATGCTGCAATATTATTAATGTAGTTGCAGTAATGAAGGAAAATAAGTTTACTTATAAGGTTGGAATTATGAGAAGACCAAGACAATGGTCAAGTTACTCTATATCAGATCAGTAATTTCAACGAAATTTTCGACTATAGTTAAGTCGGAGAAGTTGAAGTTAGACAATATCTATAGTGATATTGAGCATAAGATTTCTCAAAAGAGAAACAAGTTGAGTATAGAAAATTATGAGTATATAATGGAGATGTGACTTGTTAAAGTTTACAAGTGACATCGATATTAAGGTACAATGTATATAGATGTTCCGCACCCGAAGGGCCCCGGGTTGTGGGTAAATCATATACAATGTATCGCATAAGTATTCAGATAAGTATTTAATATTAATTATTCTCTAAAGTTATTCAATGTGCATAGAGTTTTATGTAACTAAGTTATGAAGTTATGTGTGTGATCCAAAGTATGTGCTTTTGCACAATGATTTTAATAAGATTTAACTACGAGGATCAGCTGAGATAAGTTTTGGACCATAAGGTTCAATGGCTGGGTAAGTAAGATATTTCCTCGTTAGTAGAAATGGGATCACCACATATAAAGTTTAATGCCACTGAAAAGTGAGAAGTTGATATTAACACTCATTTTTCAGATTACGAGTTATGATGTATATATCTCAGATTCAGTATTTCCGAGGGCGGAAATAGCTTTAAGGGGGGTAGATTGTAATATCCCATTCAGTAATTAATAAAAGTAATTATTTTAGTTCTAAGTTTGAACTAATTACTTTTATTAATAATGCCCGTTCCTAGATTTGAGCCCAGTTATTAAGTTATTCTGTTAAAAGTTCGACTTTAAGTTGAAAGTATATCGAGCCAATTCAGTAATTAATTAATTTCGGTCTGTTTATTTTTATAAATGGATTTATAAGATGGGATTAATTATTTTCTTTATAAGTCGGAATTAATTATTTTAAGCTAACGAGATAAGAGAAATCAAGAATATTTCGAGAAATTGTCAAAGTCGAGTTTCGATCGAAATCAAACAAGTTCGACTTAAGTCAAGCCGAACCTAACCGAACTTATGTAGTATTTTCTTTAGAATATTTATAAGTATTTAGTTATTAAATTAAATCATATTAGTCCATATTAGTATCAATTTAAGTAAATTATGGTTTAAAAATTTTTATATTATAAATGAAATCAAGATGTCATTTTCTTCCATATTTTTATTTCAAGTGTTGTCCTCTCTTTTGTTTTATTTGATGATGACCTAATGGTAGAATAGTTAGTACATTAATGGAGAGGAAATTTTTAAGTTTAAATGAGCAATCATGTGGGTCATACAGTTATTAGTTATGTTGAGTGAGTAGGGATCAATTATACACCATAGGGTGCTATATATAAAGAAAATGACTCGTAAGTTTTTTTAGTGGAGTTGTTAATACATCATTGGAAATGAAAGTTTTTTTTAAAAGGGAGAAATCGCTGCCATATAGTGTAAATGCCTAAAAATCTTAGCATTTTAAATAAATTACTATTTTTATATAAAATTTTATAAATCAAGTTCAATTGATTATGACCTGATATCAATTATTTGCATATATGTTAACTTTTTAAATGGTTAATGAGATGCAAGACGTAAGTGCATGCGAAATCATTTATGTGACACTAATGTTTATTCTAATGACATGTGTCATTAAATAAAGAGTTAAGTGTCCATTCTTCTATCTCTATTAGCTTTACTCGGTTTATAAGAGATGGTTTTAAATTCATTTCTTTACCTTTAAATTGTTTCATCCTTAGAGAGAAATAAAAGATAGTACAGAAAATTAGTAGTCATATCTTGCGTTCGTTAGAAAGTTACCGACGTACATCTTGTTCTATTCAAAATACACCTGCATCAACTTATTATTAAGAAGTTATACAATCAAGGAATTTTCTCCATTTTTTCACTATACATGAGCAAATTTGTCGAGGACAAGTTCGAGCGTCCGAGGCTTCGTTTTTCTCGATTCTTTCAGTTTCTCGTCTAATCGAGATGAGGTATAAAGCTTAGTTAATTTTTTTTATTAATTTCGAGTTTAGTTTGAAGGATTAATTAAGTTATTATAATTATGATATAAATATATGATATTTTAATGATAAGAAATTCAACTATGCATATGTTTAAAGGATTATTTTCGAAATTTAATATTTAGACGATAAATTCGGATTTAAGATATATGCATGTGAAAATCGAGTTTAGTTCATTATAAATCTTTATTAATCATGAATATGATTTTATGAAGATTTAGCATATTTTGAGTTATAATGATGGATCTAGTAGAATATAATTTTTTTTACATATTAATTATTTGAATGAGATTTTGATAAAGAAAAGAATAAGCTGGAAAAATATGATGTATGATGAATTAAGTACTTGATTGAGTGAAAGATCAAGTTAAGATGAGTTTATAAATCATGATGATGATGATGATGGTAAAAAGTAAGTACTCAATCAAGTATAATGTCAAAGATAGTTATTTGAGTTATAGCATGTTATGAAACATATTGATGTGTAAGAAGATATGTTTTATAAGGTTAAGTAATTAACCTTGAGTAAAAGTAAAAAGTGAAGTTAAATATAAACTTGAGAATAAGCAAGTTTAAGAATGGGATAAGTTAATAATCCTAAGAACGTATTGAGTATACGAGCATAGTACTTAGTATATTTGTCTATATTTGATTTAACTTGCAGATACAGTACCAGTACAACACTTATCGAGTTACAAACGATTTCAAAGATGAAAAGGTGGGGACCCTAAATGGGTAGCACATTGAGTACGATATGTGATAGGGGATGAGGAGACCATCAGTTGTCTCAAAAGTATATCCCGAAGTTTAAGGTTTATTACGCTTGGGATGAGGAGGCATTAATTTGTCTCAAAGGTTATATCCTAAGTTCTGATGGAGGCGAGACGGGCCTGAGAAATATCCATTAGAGTGTGCACATGTATTCGATTAACCATCGGCCAGAGAAATGAAAAGTTGAAGTTTAATTTTAAGTTACTGATCAGATATCGGTTTATGATTATCCATATTCGTTACTCACCCCCATGAGTTTTAGTTTCAGGTAACAGGTTAACGAGGAGGTGTGAGTGGAGCTGTGTTGGTGTGGATCGTGACCGAAGATGAAGACAAGCTTTAATATGGACATTTATAAAAGTTTGTATATTTAACCACGTTTCAAGTATTTCCGCTACGCACATTAATTATTGAACTTGCATTTTAATGAATTTTAGATTTAAAGTTTTTATAATTATGATAATTGTGATTATGTATTTTAAATGCAAGTTTAAATGAAATCTGTTTTTATGTTTCAAAGAAGTATTAAATGATAGTTTAAAGAGAAACAAATTTTCAAGAAGATAAGTCGAGTAGCATCCCGAGTAGTCGCAAAAGATTCAAAAGAGTTATAAGTAATTTCGAAGTAAAAGTTGCGAAAAATTTACTCTGATAAGCGGGTTGTTACAGGGTTTATCGTGTAAAGATATTTGTATATTATTCTATTATTGTGGACCATATAATTAGTTGGACCTAATTGAATTTTTAGTCAAGCTTAATTAAGGTGAATATGTATTTAATGGATTATTAATATTCTAATATTAAAGAGTCCAATTTGTGATGTTTGACTTGGGAACATGGGGAATGTTAGTAGGATTAGAATTGTAGGTCTTCTCCTATATATATTACTACATACCCCTCTCTCCCGTCTCATACGAAAATAAAGTTCTCAACATCAAGGGCTTTATGGAAAGACGAGAGACGTGGGAAAGAGAAACAGTTCATAAGGCAAAGACAAAGCCACAATTCGTAAGGCAAAGACAAACTCATCATTGGAGATTACGAGGACGAGGATCACAGATCAACATCATAGATCAAAAAATAGGAAGGACTATAAGCTGGATTCTTGTAAGTTCTATGTGCAATTTAATTTATGCAAAGATCCATATTCAATGAATTGATAGAATTACATATTTAGGGTTTATTCAATTCCGCCTAATAGTTTTGAATATGGCCGTTAAATTCCTCACATATTGAGCCCTCAAGCATAACAGTAAGTCACCAAACAAACTTGCAACCCAATTCATATGAGTAGTCCTAAAAATGCAATCTTTAAGCTTAAATAATGATTTTTTTTTTTTTTTTGGTGCCAAGATTTGAACAGAGTTGCATGAGCTGAAGCTATTTCACACCATTTAAGCTAACATTAACAACGAGAAAGGGAAGGAAATAGAATTGATTACCCAATTCAGGGGAGTTCTTGTTCAAGAAAATTTCCCACCATTCAATGTCAAAAGTTGTATTATCCACCTGAGTTGTAGTCTTGTTACCGCCTCCATTGCTGCTCTTGCTTTTCTTATTCTTCTTCTTCTTCTTCGTCTTGCCCTTCTGAAATTTCTTAGACAAATCTTTCTTGATTTTGGGGGTGGGTTTTCTCAGAGGGCCATATGGGCGCTCCGATTGTACCTCGGCTGGTTGAGTGGGATAGAAATTTTCACATCAATTTTGGGGGTTTTGTTGGATTTCTCTAAAAGGGTCACACTTCATCATTTTTTCTCCATAGAAATAAGGAAAGAGAAAAGAAACAAAGGTGATTCTACCGTCAGGTATCCTCGTACATGCCTCGTACATGCATAACAATAGGTACCCTCTAATGAATGACAAATGTCCTTTATTATATTTAATTAAATGAAAATTAAAAAAAAAAAATCTTGTTTTAATACTAAAATGCCTTACTTAAAAATTTTAAAAAACAACATTATTAACTTTTAATTAATTTACTTAAAATGTGTTTAATTATCCACTTCTTAATATTAAGCCTAAACATAATTAAATATATCAACAAAACCACCAAATAATAATTAAAAAAAAAAATGAAACAAAACAATCCCCCAAACCCCAATTTCCCTCTCGTCTCATGCGAGGAATGGATGAATACGAAGAAGAAGAAGAATAATGGATGAGAAGACGAAGAAGAAGAAATCGAAGACAGCTATCAGATTCAGCCTCCTCCGGCAAAGCAGGTGAATGTGAGCATAGCGACTCGACAATGGCAATATCCCAAGCCGACAACCTCGAAATTGGGCAGATTCCAACGCAGATCTGGACTCCACTCGGCCCACAAGCTGCAGCCCGACCCGATGACCCTCAAATCCTTCTCCAAGCGCGCCAATGGCAGGGAAGGCCGGAGCCAGTGGCCGACCAGGGGCGACAAGAAGTCGAAGGCTGCAGCCCGGCCCCATGGCCCTCAAATCCTCCTCAAACCGCGGGGAAGGTCGGAGCCAGCGGCCGGCGAGGGACGGCAACAAGCCAAAGACCGCCCACAAGCTGAAGCCCGGCCCGATGATCCTCAAATCCTCTTCCAAGGACACGATGTCGATTTCTTTTTTCCTTCTTTTGAAATTTGAAGTGATAAAGATTGGTCTTTTTCTTGTCCATTTGTGTTGATTTTCGCTTAACATATCTTTATTTTTTCACGAGGATTTCAAATGGAAACAATACTTATATGATTTCTTATATTTTTTTTGTTGTATCCTGTAATGGATCCCTGTATAGATGACATACTTTTGGCAAAAGAAATATTGCAATTGAATTTGTGTATGTTTTGTTGTGACTTCCCATCCAGGAACTTCTGCTTGGTGGTGGTCTCAATATTCCCAGGACAATACATGAAATTTTAGTGGCTTTCGCTACTTGCCTCGCACATGATGGGAGGCTATTTGATTCCAGGGTCGAATGCTTAATAATTGAGGTTGATTATGTCTGGAGTTCAATGACAGTCTTTGTATTTAATGGCATATGAGTGTACAAATTGTGGTATATAAGAGCATCTCCAATGGTATCTTGTCCATTTTGAGTTTCATGGCATGAAAGAAGGAGATTGAAAAATTGTATGTCCAATGGTTAATGTTAAAGATGGTTTAATTTGACATGTGTAAATTTATAATTGGTTGAAAAGAAGAAATAAATTAAATAAATAATATAATATGTAATAGAAGTTGTCTAGAAGCACTTCTACTTCTAGAAAGGCTTCTAGAATTTTTTTAGACCACATAAGTTTTCTTGTGCCATGTGGCAACAAAATGAGGCAATCCAAATGCCATTGGAGATGCTCTAATGTTTTTGTCTTACCTTTTTGTGGCTTTGAAATTGTAGCAATATTAAGCACGAATAATGTTCGATTGGCCAGTTATCAACTCAAACTGAATGTTTTCATCCCTTTAAACGGTTATTTAGAATTTTTCATATTTGGGGAAGCAGATGAGGTTGAACGGATGTTCGTGAACAAATGCGTATAACAAATGCTTTTGGCGATCCTGTGCTTCCTCTCTCTCAACATATTCAACATGTTGAGTTTAATTTAATTATATTATAAGAATTACATAAAGTTTAAATTCAACAGTATAAATAAAAATTAAAATAAAATATTGCTTATTATGAAAAATTTGTTGTACACAACATTATATATATGGCGATCAGTCCTTGCTATATGAAATTAAATATCTATATCTTCGTGATTGGTTATTTTAAAATTATTAGTACTATTATAATTGAAAGTTACCAGTAAATTACATATAAAAATAATATATTATGGTAACACAAAAAAAAAGATAAAATAATTTACCATAAAATTGTAAATTTACATTTAAAAAATCAGTTTTTAACATATCACTACTTTTGCATGTAACATCTTTATTTAAATTTTTTCTTTCTATTTAATATTTTTATGAATTTAACTTTTTGTTTCTAAAAATTTTAAAATGCATTCTACCAAAGACATAAGTGGTATTTATATTTTTCTTTTTAATTTTTAAAATCATTTTATGAAAACTCATTTAACAGACATTGATATAAAAATAAGTTATTGATGTATATATATATATTATTTAGTTTTATATGCTCATTATGAGTGCTAAACAAAAAATTATGTGCTCAATCTTGTTAATAATAGTCCACCTTAAGAATTTTTATTACTTCTACTTCTCTTTCACTCAACAATTTCAAATTTACATAGGATAAAGAAATCAAGAAAATCAATTACAACAATAAACTTGTATAAACTCATTACATCTATTTTTTATTATAAATTTATGATATTTTATGATTCAAGAT